TGCCTGCGTTTCACCCACCCGGTACAGCGCTTCGTTGCCCCATAGGGTGCCCCACCGAAGGTCCCAGCGGCACCGCTCGCATGCGTCCGCCACCACGCAGCGCAGCCCTTGCTGACCGCGTCTCACCCACCCAGTACAGCGTTTCGTGGCCCCATAGGGACCTCCACCGAAGGTCCCAGTGGCACCGCCCGCGTGCGTCCGCCACCGCCCAGCACAATTGTGGCATTCACAGCTGCATATGGTTGGGTCCTTCGCCAGGCTAATTTTTCTTTTCTTTTCTCCCCCCCCCCAACCATCCTGTGGTGTTGGGTCCTCGTTTTGAAGAGAGCGCCCCGCGTTCACTCCTTCCTTCCTTCCTCCCGCTGCCCCTCCCTCGTCACCGCGCCCATTTCAGCACGCCCCTCACACGTTTCGTGGCCCCGTAGGGAGCTCCGCCGAAGACCCCGGTGGCTGCGTTCGCATGGCGGCGCCGCGCCCATTTCGGCACACCCCTCACACGTTTCGTGGCCCCATAGGGAGCTCCACCGAAGGCCCCAGTGGCTGCGTTGGCATGGCGGCGCCGCACTCATTTCGGCGCACCCCTCACGCGTTTCGTGGCCCCATAGGGAGCTCCACCGAAGGCCCCAGTGGCTGCGTTGGCATGGCGGCGCCGCACCCATGTCGGCACACCCCTCACACGTTTCCTCATAGGGAGCTCCACCGAAGGCCCCAGTGGCTGCGTTCGCATGGCGGCGCCGCGCCCATTGCGGCACACCCCTCACACGCTTCGTGGCCCCATAGGGAGCTCCACCGAAGGCCCCAGTGGCTGCGTTCGCACGGCGGCGCCGCACCCATTTCGGCACACCCCTCACACGTTTCGTGGCCCCATAGGGAGCTCCACCGAAGGCCCCAGTGGCTGCGTTCGCATGGCGGCGCCGCGCCCATTTCGGCACACCCCTCACACGTTTCGTGGCCCCATAGGGAGCTCCACCGAAGGCCCCAGTGGCTGCGTTCGCATGGCGGCGCCGCACCCATTTCGGCACACCCCTCACACGTTTCGTGGCCCCATAGGGAGCTCCACCGGAGGCCCCAGTGGCTGCGTTCGCATGGCGGCGCCGCACCCATTTCGGCACGCCCCTCGCACGTTGCGTGGCCCCATAGGGAGCTCCACCGAAGGCCCCAGTGGCTGCGTGGCGGCGCCGCGCCCATTTCGGCAAGCCCCTTCACACGTTTCGTGGCCGCATAGGGAGCTCAACCGAAGGCCCCAGTGGCTGCGTTGGCATGGCGGCGCCGCACCCATTTCGGCACACCCCTCGCGCGTTTCGTGGCCCCATAGGGAGCTCCACCGAAGGCCCCAGTGGCTGCGTTCGCATGGCGGCGCCGCGCCCATTTCGGCACGCCCCTCACGCGTTTCGTGGCCCCATGGGGAGCCCCACCGAAGGCTCCAGTGGCTGCGTTGGCATGGCGGCGCCGCGCCCATTTCGGCACACCCCTCACACGCTTCGTGGCTCCATAGGGAGCTCCACCGAAGGCCCCAGTGGCTGCGTTCGCATGGCGGCGCCGCACCCATTTCGGCACACCCCTCACGCGTTTCGTGGCCCCATAGGGAGCTCCACCGAAGGCCCCAGTGGCTGCGTTGGCATGGCGGCGCCGCACCCATTTCGGCACATCCCTCACGCGTTTCGTGGCCCCATAGGGAGCTCCACCGAAGGCCCCAGTGGCTGCGTTGGCATGGCGGCGCCGCACCAATTTCGGCACGCCCCTCACGCGTTTCGTGGCGCCATGGGGAGCTCCACCGAAGGCCCCAGTGGCTGCGTTGGCATGGCGGCGCCGCGCCCATTTCGGCACACCCCTCACACGCTTCGTGGCCCCATAGGGAGCTCCACCGAAGGCCCCAGTGGCTGCGTTCGCATGGCGGCGCCGCACCGATTTCGGCACACCCCTCACGCGTTTCGTGGCCCCATAGGGAGCTCCACCAGAGGCCCCAGTGCTACCGCCCTCATGCGCCCCGTGCGCCCAGGACAGCGTTTCGTGGCACGCCTTTCGTGGCCCCATAAGGAGCCCCACCGAAAGCGGCACCCACAAAGCGTTATTCACAATTGCATATGGTTGGGTCCTTCGCCAAGATATTTTTTTTACGGGCCGGGCTCCTTCGAAGCAGCTCGAGAATTATCCACACAGCAAGAACGAGTCCAGGGGGAAGCATGTCATGAAGAGCGTCCTGGGGCTTATCATGAGTTTCGACGGAGTGCTGATGGCGGAACTCAAAGAGCGCGTCAGAGGGGCCTGAGCCGCCTGGATATCGCTCAGCGAAATCTGGCACCAACTTCTCCTCACCGCCTGCTTCGTGCCCTTTTTCATGGGCTTCGCCTATAGCGCGGCTATTGCAGAACTCGCCGCGTTCGTGCTGACTCATAAGTGGAACTCACTCCTTGCGCGCATGCTCCGCTGTTGGATGCATGGCAAAACTGGCCGTGAATTGGACGGCTGAGTAAGGGCCTTGAGCAACAGCGAAGTTTTTCGAGCATTTGAATATCAGCCAAGCAGCAACCGAACTACGCGTGCAGTGGGCCCGAAGGTGGCAGCAGATAGCAAGATAACCAAGTAACCATCGCAAATGTTCGGCACGCTTGACCTTGATCGATTACTCGAGGTCTCCAGATCCAGCCCGACAGGCAGGTGTGCATAACATTCGACACGGTGGGCAGTGCAGTGCAGGAGCGACCTGCGGGCGCTCGCCAACGTCGATGCTCGCTTCGACCAGACCTGGGGCGACAGACAAAATATACTGCAGGTTTTCAAGGGCCCCGAGGTTTCAATGGGGCTCGCCAGATCCCCGCGGGCAATCGCAAGAGCATGCTTATCGAGGAGAGGTCAAAGAAGCTAGCCAACTTGTTGTCTAGACTGGGCATCGCGTCGATAGAGGCAGAGCGCGCGGACGTCGCAGAGCACCATGACCACGACGCGGGCAGCAGCAACAGCAGCATCATCGAAGAGTACGCGCGCGCGAGAAATGGGGGGAGGGCGGAGGGCTAGGGCGCGGCATGTCATTCACGATTGTTAAAGCACTAACGGCGCACAACACGCGCTCACAACATGAGGAACCTGCGCTCCATGATAGTCCGCGCGAACGTATGCCCGCTGTGCCGCGCATGATTCGCGAGTCGAGCCTCTTGCTTGCGACGCGTCCTCGCCGCGTCCCGCGCGACCCCGCTGCGCTTCTCCGCCAGAGCCACTTCCTCTGACTTCAAGCCTGAGTAACAGAGCTGTTGCATATGCGGCGTGTGCGACCGCGAAGGTAGTGACTTTAACGCGCGTCTCCTTCGCGCAGCTACTCGCGCCTCCGGACCAAGTGATGGCGCGGGGGGCCGGCGCCGCCGAAGGAGGGTGGCCGAGGAGCCAGACGATGGACGTGGCCTCATCAGCGGCTCAACCACCGGCAGAGCAGCCACGCGGAGGCCAGAGGAAACTCGCGGGGCTCCAGCGACAAAGCGCCAGGTGCAAACCACGACGAGACGATCCTCATGCAGAAACTGTCCCTGAATACAGCGCATGTGCTCAGGATGATGTCAGGCAGCGTGGGGTCTTCTTCCTAACCGAGGGCGAGCTAGAGCCAGTGGAGGCCGCAGCTGCGGGGGGAGTCAACTGCGCCGAGGAGGTCTTGATCAAGGGCAGCAGGGTGATGGGATCGCCCCCGCCTGCACATGGGAGTGGAGTTCTTCCTGGGGATGGCGAAGGCGCAGACGCTCGAGGGCGAAACGAAGAGGATCCTGCAAGAGCTTGGGCAGATGATCGAGGTCTTGCCGATGGGGGAGTTCGCGGACATCTTAGCCTACTTCAAGGTGGATAAAGCCTACAGCGAGCCAGACCAGCCGACGAAGTGGAATATCCACATCGTGTTCAGCCCGCTGAGCTCGACGCCCATCAAGAAATGGGAGGGCGAGATCAACGGCATCCGGCAGGGCAACGCAGAGGAACCGATCGCGCTCGGGCAGTTCAACATTCAAGACCTACGAGTAGCGACGTGCAGCGCATTCAAGCACATGAAGGCGGAGCATATATATATATATATATATATATATATATATATATGGCGCACCTCCCCCGACGTCGCTCGAGAGGCAGCTGCAGAAAACACTCCGAGCGCGGCGAGCTCTGGGGCAGTAGACTTGGCAGGGATGAGAGCAATGGCGCAAGGCGGCAGTGCGAGAGCCAGAGAGCTACTCGCGCGGCTGAGACCGCGAAAGTGAATGAGCAGCAACCACCAGCATTTTATTTTTTCTTCGCGGCCAGCGGACAACCCGCGCACGCTATCGCGAAGCGGACTTTGGTTGGCGACCGCTAGCGTAGAGTGTGGCTCGTCGCCTTTGTTGCGTTTCTCACTGTCGCCCCCTCCAGCTTGCGTTCCTGGGGGGGGGGCTTCGGCCCGCGTTGATCCCGGGGGCGTTCGTTTTCTTTCTTCTTTCCTCGCGGGACCTCTTCGTCGGATCCACGTTGCGTTCGCAGCTTGAAGAAATAGAGACCCGAGCGCAGCCCGAGGAAGCTCGCCTTGAGTCGTTGTTCTTGGCCCGAGCGAGAAAATCCTTGTTCGAGGCAAGCAACTACATATCGTGGGTCGGGGTTGTGGAGGGATCGGGGGGAGGAGCGGTCTCAAAGAAGACCACGATGTACGCGAAAACACGCACCGCTTCCCGAGACGGGGGGAATGTGCTACAGTACCATCATCCCCCGACCGTTCCATCACATTTTGTGTTGCTTTACTTTTCCACTGGGCCCGGCACCGAGTTGGAACGGGCCCATAAGGTTTAACACAACCAGGGGGCCCGTGGGCTGACACCATTGTTGTGCCGATAATGCCGCCAGCAGCATCCGAGCTCGTAATACATATACGAGACGAGCCCTAGCCTCTCGAAGCCAGGGATCATCAGTTGCCAAGGCTTTGGGCTCGACTCCTCCTCCTCCGCCTCCTCCTTCTCCTCTTGCCCCCCCCCGCCCTACGCACCCCCCGTCCCCCAGCCGAGGTCTGAACCTCGCCGCCGGAGTTCGGTGGTGAAGAAGATCGAGGCGCGTGAATGATTCGGCAGCCTTCTTTGTCGTCGTCACCTGTTTCCGTCTCTGCGGTCGGCCATCGGCCGGCGGGCCGCGCCAGTCATATGCATTTTAAACAAGTTGAAATGATGAGGGCGGACGCGGATGGGGGAGTAACGCGGGGGTATGCTTCAGTCGGGCCTGTCCCTTTACAGGGTGAATATTCAAGAATAGCCAAAAAATAGTTCGGGAACGATGTTTTGATTATTTTTGCCGATTTGGGGGGCGTTTTTGAGTCCGACCTAAGGGTATGCCTCACGCACAAAAGGTGTTCGTCACGAGGAGATGCGCAGGCGGCCGCAGGCGCCCAACAGCCAGTGTACTGGAAAGGTGAGCGGCCAGTGCAAGCTGCCGAAGTCGGGGGCGGCAAAGAGGGGGGTGATGACGAGGGGGGGTGGATATCATGGCGGGGGCCATGATATCTCCCCAGATTTCATGGCGCCCCTTCTTATTTCATTACGTCCCTGGTCCCCCCGCTGGGCCGCGCACGTGCCGCCGGTCATGATTTGCACCCCCCCCTCTTGGACGCTCCCTTGGTTGCCGCCCCCGACGAAGGAGAGGGCGGTGTGCTCAGGTCCCACCAGGGAGGCAAGCCATTCCACTGGGCGGAGGGCAGACCGCCCATGTTGGGCTAGGGCCGCCGGCGGCCGCCTTCAGGGGTCCCTGGCACCAAAGAGGTGAGGCAACGCGGACTTCCAGTGCACCATGGCACGTGCGGCGCCAGTGCAGGGACCAGGACATTGCCGAAGTGCACCACGACGACCGTCCCAGCGCCCAGGTGTCCGCCGTGGCGGCCAGGGGAGGGGGAATAAGGAGGCGAAGGGGGGGAAGGCGGCCATCCCGGTGCTCAGCACCAAGGGGCGGCGCCAAAAGGGCAGAGGCCTGGAAGGGAGGCCGTGGTGGGCCCCCACAACTGGCCCAGGCTGGCGGGAAGGGCAGCGGCGCCTTCCAAGAGCGAAGAGGAGGACGCGGAAGGCTCCGGGTGGGCCCCGGCGACTGGCTCGGACTGGTGGGACGGGCAGCGAGCGCACCAGGAAGGACCCAGTCGGCGCAGCGGCAGTTGAGGCCGATCCAGGAGCACCCGATCGGTGCAGCAACACGGAGAGGGCCAGGGTGGGCCGAAGTCCCGGAGCACCCGATAGGCGCGGCAAGCAAAGAGGAACAGTGAAGGATCGGGACACTCTCACAGACACGGAGTGTGTCGGCCCACTCGCGGCTCTTCCAGGCTGTCAGGAGTGCGGGGCATTCGGGGCTCATTTTGGCACGGCCATGGAGTGCCCTTTTTGTCACAGACGCAGTCATATCACAATTCGAGCTTCGGAAAGCATGCAAATACCTTGATCACGTTCGTGGCAGGCAGGATGAAGGTGGTGGTGGGAACATCCCAGCCGAGCCTTCTCCCGGTCCGAGCGGGTCAGACACACCGCACTTTTTTTTGTTGTGTGCTCTGTGCCGGCCTGGGGCCTCCCCCCCCCGAGAGGCTGCAGTCGACTAGACGTAAGAGTGACCCTTCGCCGGAGTGACCTTTGGTGCGGGCACAGGGGGGTCCCCAGACGGCCGAAAACGAGGCAGGAGCAGCGGCCGGCGCGCCCAGGTTTGGTCCCCCCGCGGCCCCCCAGAAGCCGCGCACCAAAGGTCACCACTACCCAGGGTCACTCTTGCGTGTAATTAGCCGATGCAGGGGCCGGAGGGCGGAGCTTCGTGGGCCGCTGGGCTGGCGGGCTTTTCAAACGGGGAAGAGCGGCAAGAGAGGCAGGCCGCCATTTTTTGTGCATGGTTTCGCCGATCGGCGCGGGCCCCCCATAGCCCTCCCCCTCCCCCCCCCCACCATAGACCAGATCTTGGCAGCTTTCGGCGGCTGCTTTTTGGCGGCAGGTCAGGGCCCCTCCCCTCCCCCCAGTCTGCTTGTGCGACTGGCAAAACGAGATCAACGAAGCACCGGCCTGGACCCAGACGCCCCCCTCCCACGCCTTTCGATTAAATGTCGAAGCCCAGAATCAACAAAACCGCTTACCAGGGACAGAGACAGATCGTAAACGATTTCTAGTTCCACATCCGCGAGCTCCATCCCAAACAACTGGCCGCCCAACAAAGTTGGGAATCTCGGGGATTCATCGGGAGCTGTCTGGACGCACTGCTACCGAGGATGGATTCCACCCTGTCGTACATCCTCGAGGTGGGCCCTGAATTTCATGTCCAGTCACAAACCCCGCAAAGTCGAGGATTTGAATCGCCATACCCCTCAGTTAAGAGAGGGAGAGAGAGATCCATTGTGGAAAGAAGAATCCTACACGCAGGTTAGGTTGCATCTGGTAAGGGTTGCATTAGGAAGAGGGGCGGGAAACATGTGATATGCCGTAGCACGGGGGGCCTGGGCCCAGGGCCAGGACACCCTTCCGCATTTCCCTCCCCCGTTTTGCCCCCCCCCCCCCCCCCCCCCCCTCCCCCCCCTGTCCCTCCCCCACCTGGAGCCTGCCGGGACTTTCTGGGGGTGTCGCGAATACGCGACAAGAGCGGCGCAGTAGGGCCCAAGGGCGGCTCGAACATCTCCAAGTCGGTCCAAGAGGCCCCGAGTACGGCGCACGGCTCCAAGATGTCTCCCAAGAGGGCCTCAGGAGGCCCACATCGCCTCAGTCCCTTTTTAGGAAAGCGCCCATGTTTAGCATATTCGCATTTGGGTCTTAGCAGCGTCCACGGCGGCCCCCGAAATCGCCCCAAGACGGTCCAAAATTGTCTCCAAGATGGCCCCAAGACGGCCCAAGAGAATCCCAAGACGGTCCAAGAGGCGCCCAAGAGGAGGAACTCCAACTGACATTTCGACCCCTCCGCCCGAAGTGGACCCCCGGGGCCGCCAGTAGGCCCCAAGAGGCCCCCACAGAGCACCCAAAGAGGCCCTAAGAGAACTCCAAGAGGCGTCCGATGCAATCTTGGCTTGAGGGAGCTCAGGTGCACCTTGTACACGTGTTATCTTCATCATCCAACCGTACCCTTATATCCACACTGCCATCATCAACATGGGATACGCTTACTACGTCCTGATATTTGCCCTCGTGGTGGCAATTTCCAGATTGATCCACGGAGGGGATGCGCTATCCCAGCGTTTGCGAAGCCGCCTGGTTGGTGACCTCTATGCAGAGGATTTCGCGCCCAGCACAGTTCGGATTCGGTCGCCTGGCACACATCACATAAAGGAGGACATCGAATTCAATCCTACAGGGGCCCATCTAAGCTGGAGTGAAATTCCAGAGGACTCGAGTACCTATCCGCAAAATGGTGGGTATATTTTTTCCGCAGCGTTAACAGCAGAGGCCGACAACGTGGATATCGTGGATATCGAGTGGAGGCCGACAACAGTGGAGGCCGCAGCATTTCCACAAAAAGCGGCGCCTCTTCAGCATCATCGAACTTGGCTCAGCACCGTGCATTGCTGGCCAGGGCCCGCCACAGTTCGCAGGCAGTCCTATGACCAGCGAGCCTTTGGCGAGCGCGCGTAATGCGAGTGTTTATTGCGTGCTTGGCCTCTCCTCGCACCATGTCGTACACGGAAACGATAATGCTGGTGTGACCATTGAGAGATTTGAGTATAATAGATTTTGAGGCGGGTGGAGTAACACTCAATGGCGCTTCGACTGTTCTCCTGCAGAATTTGGACACATGGCCATCGTTGACTCAAACCTTTGGTGCCAAGTTGAGCCACGCTATTTTCACGGACCATATCGTGAACACGCTAATGCCACATGTCGCCAGCATAGCGTCGCTCATGGCGAGCACAAATGTCGAAATCAGGGGCTCCAACCAGACCGTTGAAGAGCGCTTCACGCAGCTACGCGCCGATCTCCAGACTTTTCTGGCAGGTTCTGGGGGGCCGTTGCTATCAGTCATGGGTGACGGCGATGCGCTTCCAGATGGTTCAGCAATGAGCGGCGTTGTGCTTCGCCGGAGTGGAGTGGCAATCAATGGATTCGGTTGTTGTCCGGACACGTCGATTGACCCCCTAGAGAAAGGGGTGGAGAACATCATTTTGAAACATATCCACATCCACGGCTTACAACTTAAGGTTGATCAGGTCATGACAACGTGGGTCAACGGTAACAGGGCAGTCGGCGTGGACGGAGGTGTCTTCCACATCGACCGGGCGTGGGATATTAGCAATTGTTTCGCGTGCGTCGGGAACTCGTTCACGGACGCACAAATCACCATGGGTGTTTTTAGGGGCGCTCTTCAAAAGACGGGCATCTCGAAGGACATTCTTTTTTTCTGTTTCGGGGGCTCGCACGTCCCGCTTAGCATTCAGCAGTAGGTCGGAGGTGGATTGACCTGCGACGAAACTGGAAGCCTCATCAGGTCTCTTTGGACAGGGGGCTGGAAGACCAGCTTCGAGTGCCAAGGGGACGCAATGAACCATCATAACAAAGTGGGTAGTCGCTTTGAGGTTGGGCTTCAAGAAAGACATCGCGGTAGAGAACGTCACGATTTCGAATCTCGTGAATGCGGGGGTCGCGGATGCGGCTCCCTATTGTTCAGCGGACGATCACCAAGGCTTGGACGTCCGTGCAGTCGCGACTTTTCATTCTGCGGCGTGGAGCGGATTGGACATCAGGTTCAGCGGTAATTTCGCGAGCGCCGACCAGAACAGGGTCGTCCCATTATCAGGGATGAGGATGCGGGGTGACGATCTGACAATCTCACCGCCACTTCCGAGTCCGACGCCCACTCCGAAACCAGCCTGCGCTTAGCTTCGGTTGCGCTCGCCAGCTTCGAATAAGCAATCTCGAGCTTTGATTGATGAGTCTGAGTGCTCAGGTGCCCTGCGAGGCAGACCTGCGAATATACACTTTCTAATCGATGTGCACTCTCTTGGAGTTGCTGCATTTCGGAATTACCCGACCAGTACCTAAAAGCTGTGCTGGTGTATTGTGTTTTGCCATGTTGTTTGTTTGGAAATTAGATGCGTTTAGATAGGTTTCGAGGAAAGCTTCAGCAAGGATGCAGCCAGCGTGACCCCCTCCAAACCGGCCAAACGGAGCCCCCCGGGGAGGAAAGCGGGGAGGGGCAACAATCTCACACGCCGTAGACCCTAAGGGGTCGGCGGACTCATTAGCACGTCCTTCTCGGGCGAAGTGGCGACGCAATGCAGAGCGCCGCGTTTTTCGGCACTCGCCAGCTTGCCGCGCATGTGCAGCAAGCCGACCCGACTCGAACATGCCGCTGCTGCCCTCCTTTCGTTCATTTCTTTCCTTTCCTCCTGCTCCTTGCCTGCTGTCTCCGACTGGCCCCTCTTCTGCCTGTCCGCCCGCCCCGCCGGACCTGGCCCCCCGCCTGGGCGTTAGTCGTCGTCTGCTTGCTTCTCCTTTCCTCGCCCCCTTCTGTGCCGGACAGCGCAGCCTGCCCGGGAGCAGCGTGACGGCATGTCGGACTTCGGCCGAAGGCCTGTAGCGGCTCCAGCTGCCTCCTGCCGGGTGCCTTGCTCGATGCAGTGGTGCCTGGCCCCCCTGTAAGTGGAAAGGCTCTCTGTGTTCATCCCAAACAGAGAACACAGCCAGTGCACATGTCCATTGCCCTGTTCATTTCTTCCTCTTTCTCTTTATCACTCTCTGGTTCTTTTCTGAAGCCCCGCATACTTTAAGCAGGAGGCGATCATACGGCTGCGTAGGTGCCCAGAGTGCGTTTGACAGACCAGGCCGCAGAGGCCGCTGCGATTCGCACATTATCAAGCAGTGGCGAAGCGTCCTGGCTCGCCTATAACCCTACCAAACAATGTTCTAAGAACCTAGTGTTAAAAAAATCACGAGCTGTTCTTGAAACATTTCTGGTTCATATTGTTTTGGTTTAACGCATTGGGCTTATGTTGTAATAACATTGTTGTTGCTCTTCAAACATTTTTGAGTTCTGAGAACATGTCGTGGTAGGACTATAGGAATGCTGGGACGGTCGCCCCCTTCTCAACATTCGTCGGACTGGGTAGCATTCTGGCTGTCATCCTCCTGCTATGAAAAGACGAGGACTTCAAGAGGCGTTAGAACAGGCGCCAGGAGGCACCCGAGAAGCATGCTAAGAGACCCCAGCGGGTATCCAAGAAACCTCGGACCCAGAACCCAGGCATGATGGCGGGATAATTCCGCCATGCAAGCAGTTCTAGCTTGGCGAAGGGCCCTGATTTGTGCAGTCGCGTGCAGCGCAGGGCGCGGCTGCTGAATAATCAGGGCGCCCCCGCGCGAACACGCCCACTGAGGCCGCAGGTGAAGCTCCCTGTGGGGTGTGACCCTTGTGAGACATGTTGTCAGTGTCGTTTAACCGACCCCCATCCCCACCGTGCCATGGTATCTCAGACCCACATCCCACCCCAGTTGGGGATAGGCCCCTCGAAACCCGAAGAAACAGATACGTATCCCTATTTAGGGGAGTCAGTCGACCAGTGGGGCCAAGGCCACGCCTGCGGGTTTTGGGCTCGGTTCAACGATGTTCAGAGATATGTCTGAGCATCGTTTGACGAAGCCAGTGGGATTAGGGATCGGTGGAACGATGCTCTGACATATTTCTCGGTTAGCGATCCCCCGGCCATTTCGAAGTTCGCGGGGGGATCCCGTGCGAAGTTGCCCATTTGTGGCATAAGTGGAGTTCCTTCTGGGGCACGATTCCCTACATGGGTATGCCGAGATGGGCGGGGGGACGATGTGCGAACCTGGTCTCTGGGGCTGTGAGTGGTGCTCCCTGTTGGGCACGATCCGGGTGAGGGGTATGTCGGAATGGTCGGCGGTGGCGCTGTGCGAACCCTGCCTCAAAGGCCTCCTGGGAGGTTCTGGGGGTTTTGTGGGGCCCTCTTGGGGGCCTCTTTGGGGCTCTTGGGGCCTCGTGGGAGCGTCTGGGGGCGCTCTTGCGCCATCTGGCCCCTTCGGGGGCCGTCTCGGGGGCCTCTCGGAGCCGCCTCGGGGATCTCTTCGGGTCGTCTTGGGCTGTTTGGGGGGCTCTCTTGTGTCGTCTTGGGGCTCTTGGGGGCCTCTTAGACCGTCTTGGGGCCACTTTGGAGGCTGCTTTGGCTGTCACGGGCCCCCGAGAATTCGCTCAAAAAGGCCAGAACGCCCAAATCCTCCAAACACACCGGCAATCAATGTTTTTGGCTTCTGGAAGCGCTCTTGGGGGTCCTCTTGGGGTTCTTCCAGGGCCGTCCTGGTGGCCTCTTGGGCCCTATTGGGGCTATTTCGGGCCGTCCTGGTTGGTTGGGCCGTCTTGAAGCCATCTCGAACCGTCTTGAGGCCTTCTTGGACCTCCAGGAGGCTTACGAGACTCCCAAATCAATTATTTCCCAATTAGGTTTCTGTATGCTTTGGGGTCCCAGAATGGTGTGGGGAGGGGCATGTTGGTTGATGGATGTGGTCCGACTCCAAGAGGAGGTTAGGGGGGGTATGCAATAATGAAAGACGTACGGTATGTAGCAATGTGCAGTAATTTTAGACACGAGATCTGTTGCGCTATGGCATTATCAGAAAAAAGCTGCCGCTCAGCATGTCACCTCTGGACGTGGATTCCTTTCGCTTCGCGGGGTGCACGTCCGAGCACGTACAGTCAAGTCGTTGCGGGGCCTGGTGGCAGCCTCTTTTGGGCTTCTTGGGGGGCTCCTGGGGGCTTCTTGGGGCCTCTTGGGGGCTTCTTTGGTGCCGCTTGGGGGCGGCCTGGGCCGTCTTGGGGCGTTCTTGCGCTGTTTGGCTCCTTCGGAGGCCGTCCCGTGGGCGTCTCTCGATCGCCTTGGCGCTCTCTTGGGGTCCTCTTGGGCCGTCTTGGGGGCCTCTTGGATTGTCTTTGGGGTCTCTTTGGGCTGTCTTGGGGACCTCATAGGCAGTCTTGGGGCCCTCTTGGAGCGTCCTCTGGAGGCGCTCCCGGGGGTCCTCTTGGAGCCCTCTTGGAGCGTCTTGAGTTTTTTGGGGGGCTCTCTTAGGGGCCATCTTGGACTGTCTTGGGGCCGTCTCGGCCCGTACTCAGGCCATCTTGAGCCGTCTTGACGCCCTCTTATTAGACTCCGAGAGATGGCCAATGGGGCCCAAATCATATATTCCTCCCGCAGTGTTCGTAGGTTTTGATGCCCGAAGGGGGGGCATCCTGGTCGGCGGAAGTGGCGTGTCTGTGGGGGGGGGGTACATAATGATTCGAATTGATAGAACGATACAATTTGTTGCAGTGAATTGGATACCTGGGATATGGTGCATTACAGCATCCGCGGAAAACGCTGCCGCTCAGCACGTCACCTCCCAACGTGGATTCTATAGGCTTGCGCCACACTCGCCGACCCCTTTCTTTGAGTTCGTGTTTTGGGGATTTCTTCGGGCGTCCAGGGGGGCTTTCAATGGCGCGAACCTTTTAGAGCAGGAAATGACGCGCGCGGCTTGCGACGAGGGGTTGCCGCGGCGGGACCACAGAAGCAGTGCACAGGAGAAGGAGCTTTTCACGAAGGGGAAGCGATTTGTTTGTGCAGATTGCAAGGGCCTCGGGTGCACGGCGCGCGATTGGCAAAGGTATGCGTGCGCGGGCGAATGCAGGAGGATTCGTCCCAAATCCGCGTTTGCGGGGGTGGGGGGGGCGTGGTCCGCGCGGCCCTTCCACAGAGGAGCCCTGAGGTGCAGGTCGTGCGGATGATGCCCGAGCGAGTCGACACGTCGGGGGGCAATTCTCCGAGTTACGTCGGTCATTTCCCTCGCCGCAGGGGTCCCGCGGATCGGTGCCCAAAAGGACGGCGACGTGGGTCTGGGCGTCTGCGGCAGGCGCCGCAGCTGCGCGATGGCGCTGCGTCGGCGCAAGCTGCCGCGATGAGGACCGTGGAAGGCGTGAGGGTTGCATGTGGAGTCCGTGCCGGCACCGCCATGGCCCGTAAGCCGCCTGAGCTGAGGCCGTGTGGGTCTGTAGCGGGGCCCTCAATGTACCGGGGCACCCGAAAGAGCCTGGGAACGATCGCGCGTCGGCCACGAGTGGATTTTGAGCATCTGCACGAACGAGATGGGCACGGAAAGGATGGGTACAATGCTCAACAGCAGCTCCTGCTCATTTTGAACAGGATTCGCTGCCCGCGCCGCCGCGGCCTGTGCCCATTTCAGACAGAAGGCCACCTGCCCAACAGCGGCCGATGTTGGTTTGGGACAACATTTGTTGTTGGGCATTGTACGCATTTTTTCCGTACCCATTTCGGGCGTCCAAAGAGTGGATTTTGAGCAGGGTCGGTGGTGGTTTCGAGATGGCTTAGCGCTGGCAGTGAAAGACGACGGCGACGACAGCGAGGAGGATGACGACGGTGGCGAGCAGGCGCAGGAAGGGCGGGGAGAAATAGTAGGATGAGGAGCGGGTGGGGGGTGGGGGAGGAAAGAAGGGGGATGACAGAGGAGTGGACAAATTGAGTCATGAGCGTAGTGTGTCTTGGCATGTCCATGCTTGTGTAGAAGTATGTGCGCATGTATATGTGGCCTTCGGCCCATGCCACCACTGCGCCTAGGTTGAGTGTCGGAAGCTCTTGGATGCCTGGATGCCTGTGGGGATCCTCTCGGGGGTGGCCTTATATTGGAAACCTTTTCGGGGCGGCGTTGGGATGTCTTGGGGGCCTTTCGGGGGGCTGCTGGGGGCTTCTTGGGACCTGACTTGGGGGCCTCTCGGGGGCTTCTTGGGGGGCCTCCTGCGGCTTCGGGGGGCCTCTTGTGGGCTTGCCGCGGTCTCGGGGATGATCGTAGGGGCGGAGGGTTGAAATATCGGTCCGTGTTCTTCCTCGCTCGGGCTTTCTTGGGGTCCTTTTGGTCTTTGGCCCTCCTGGGGTCCCCTTGGGCCGTCTGGGCGCTCTCTCAGGGGCCGTGTGGGTTGTGCCGGGCGATCTTGGAGGCCTGTTGGGCCGTCTTGGAACGTTGTGGGCCGGCCCGAAAATGCCAGAACGCTGAGGTCAGTGATTTTGGCCTCTTGGGTCCCTCCTGGGCGTCCCCTTGATGCTTTGCGCAGCCGTTGAGGAAGCTTCGTGGGCCATCTCGAGAGCTCGTGGAAACGTGTGAAGGCCGTATGTTGATTCTGTCGGGCGGCTTGGACGGCGTGGGACACCTCAGGGGCCGCGTTGGGACTCCAAAAAAACGCCCGGAGGAGCCTGGACCCTCCCCGGATGAGTTCGGCCAGAGGTCGTTTGGGGACGGGGGGGTCGAATGTCCTGTTTGGGGTCCCTGGGGGGATAACGCGGGACTATCTCACACGCCTCAAGACCCACAAGGGGTCGGTGGATTTTTGCGAAACCCGTGGAGGATGTGTCGAGTCTCGACCCATTCCCCAGCAGGGCCGGGTTTTCATCCCGAGCAGTTTTGTGACAATCACGGGGCTTGGTGCCGGCCCCCAGAGGCCGAGAATAATATAACAACGTCGCAAGAACACGTCTGTCATATTTTTTCCACGACGAAACTTTCGGGTTTCGAATCATAGTTCGGGTCGGGGGGCCCGCCGGACGCCTGTCGGCGAGGCGCAGCTGCGGGAGAGCACCCCGAGGCTGGAAAGCCGCCGAGGGCAGACGAAATCGTCCGAAAACCTGCGAAGTGCTCCAGCCACGCGCAGAAGGGGGGTGGCGGGAGGGGGGAGGGCTTCTCGGAAGGAGGCTGCTTCTTAGAAGGCGCTGGCCCTTAGGTGGGGCATGTCCTCCTTCCGGCTGCTTTTGGACGAAAAATTAAAGATAGTCAGAACATTTTCGAAAAATATACAGAAAGAGTCAACAAATCGTCCCTAGATTATTTTTTTTAGTTATTTCTGAATATTCCCCCTGTAGAGGGACATGCTCGACGAAAATCTGCGGACAAGGCCTGCGCCGCTAAGTGCTGTCGGTCTTCGGCCCCGTCCTCGCAGCCCCCGCTCCAGCCATGCCCGACCCATCCGCCGGGTGTTGCTAGAAGTGCCCTTGGCCCGAGGTGCCCCCAAGATCTCCAGGGAGGCCCCCACGGCCTCTGGAGCACCCCTCACGAGCATCAGAGGGCCCCAGGGGCTCCCAACCGGCGCGAGGCCGCCGCCGCCGTCGTCCTCCCCATCCTCCTCCTCCCCCTCCTCCTCCTCTTCCTCCTCCTCCTCCTCCTCCTCCTCCTCCTCCTCCTCCTCCTCCTCCTCCTCCTCCTCCTCCTCCCCCTCCCCCTCCGCCTCCCCGAATCCGCGGCGGCAGAGGCCTCCGAGATCTGCGCCGCGGGGGGGCGCGTGTCCACGCTGCTGGAGCGCCTGCGCGCCCTGGAGCGGCAGAACGCCACGCTCCGGGAGGCTCTGCCGCCCCCGCCCGGCCTCGTCGTCGCCGTCGCCGTCGTCGTCGTCGTCGTCGTCGTCGTCGTCGTCGTCGTCGTCGTCGGCACCCTCAGACCCAGACCTCCTCAGGCAGGCCTGGGCTGGGGACAAGTCGCTGCGCCCTCGCTCTGCCGCTCCAGGTTCTGATCGGGGGCCCCAGAGCTCAGGAGGAGGGGGTGCCGATACCGCTGCCCTTCTCCCGTTCTGGTGATCTTGGGGCCTTTTTGGAGGCTCTCGTCGCCACGGCCGAATTCGCTCCGAACTTCTGGTCAGAATGCACTGTGGTAGAGTTCTAGAGACTGGCGGTGCAGGTACGTACCAACGGTGCGGTGACCACCAACGGTGCGGCGACCACACCGTGTGGTGAGCCAGTGGGGATTCGGGGTGGCCGCACGGTCTCGGGACTCGGGGTCGTTCTCCGAGGATGCCTCGGGCGACCGGGGGCTCCAAGATCACGGAACCGTGCGGCGACGGGTTGTGTGGTGAGGTGTATGTATTCTGGTTATTTTTTGGGGGGATCTCGAGGTCACCGCACGGTTTGCCACCGCACCGTTTCGGGACCCCCAGTTTGAGCTGCCGAGCGGAGCACTGCCGCCGCCCGCGAAGCCGAGGTGACCACCCCGCGCCCCCTGCATCTCGAGGGACCACACAGCGGTCCCCCCGGCGGCGGGCGCCCGTTGGCTGCGTTCTGCGGAGGAGGTTGGCCCTGGCTGCCAGTCGGGAGGCACGGTCGGTCGACATGGGGATGGGAAAAACGGGGACCGAGAGACCGAGAGCAAGAGAACCGCGAAACCCCGAGGCGGAGCGCCGCCTCGGCGTTTCGTAATTAGGTCGAGGACGCCTGCACGGAGTCTCGGCTGCCCGCGGATGTCTCGGCTCGGGGCCGAGCGCCTCGGGAGCCTGTCCAGGGGCCGAGGTGGCCCAGAATTCGTCTGTCGGGGCCAGCAGGGGGGGGGGGGGCAACGGGGCCCCTCGTGGCCACGGCGGGGCGCGGCTCGCAGCACGGGTCAGTCTCGACCCCGGGGGGGGGGGGAGGGGACCGATTTTGAGCAGAGTTGCCTGCGGCCGTCCCCTTGGACCGACCTTCTCGGGGCATATGCAGCGCAGACCACCGGGTGGCTTCCAGGGGGCGCGCGGGGCGCGCCGCGAGCGGCTCCGGGGGCGCCGACTTCTTGAGGAGGGTCGGGCGGCTTTCGCGCGGAGGCTGTCGCGAGGAGCTCTGGGCATGTCTGCCCGTGCCGCTTTTGGTTCCCGCGGCTGCGCAGTCAGCCAGTCCGCGTCCCGTTCACGACCGAAGGAGAAGGGACTGCGTGACACACAAGCTCTCGGAGGCCCGCGCGGATCTCTCGTGGCCCGGCGCTGGGCCCCACATCGCTGCGTCAAAAGCGATCGCGTCGTCGCATTCTTCAGTGGCCACATGTGAGCCCTACCCCGTCCCCCCCCACGATTTCTAAGGGTGGGTGGGTGTTCGCTTCGGTCGCGAGCTCCCGAGCGGAGTGAACCCCCACCCCTACTTTGAAATCGTGGGGGTCACATATGGCCACGTACTTCTCCCCCTGTCTCGGTTGAATATCACCCATAATGCTTCCAAACAGTCGGACCGAGGTATAAGATCGAGGTCGGGGTTCGTAGAGGGTGTTCTGATGCTCTTCGTGCTGGTGGGATGCTCTTGTGCATCCTGGGGCAGGTTACCCTCGAATGCTCTTCATTTTGGCCGGCGGAGGGTCCCAGGTCCGACTGTATCACCCAGGGGTGCCCCAAGGTTCTTCGTGTTTGTTGGACGCTCTCGGGCATCCAGGGGGAGGGTACAGGGGCCTCGCATTTTTGCCCTGCGTCCTCACGGCGTGCGGCGACTGCATCGATCGGGGCTCAAGAGACGGGGGTCAATGCAAACGGGGGTCAGCCAGGGCACCAGATCTTGCAGGATCTTGCGAAGACCCCCTCTGGCTGATCCGGGTTAGCGAGCCGCTCGTGGCCGCGAGGCGGCCGCGCATATTGGTTGACACGGGTTTGCGAAGACTTGCGTTGCAGTTTTTTTTTTCCTGCATTGCAGTTTTTTGGTTTCCTGCTGACTCGGGTCTGGATTGACTCGGGTCAGAAAATCCCCGAATCGAGCGGGAAAGGATATCGGGAGGGTCTTCCTCCTGCCTCACCATCTTAAGAAGCACCCCCACTCCCACCAGAGCAGGGTAGGCTGTCTCTCGCAGCGTACCCCGTTTAGGTAGGGATGTGCGCCCCGAAGTCCGAAGGAGACGGCACCCATCCCCACCTAGAACCTCCGAGAACCTCCGAAGAGACCTCCGATGAGACCCTCCCAAAAGACCTCCGAAGACCTTCGAGGAGACCTCCGAGGCGACCTCACTGGTTTTTCTCTCAAGACACGGGCCCTGGAAATTCCGAACCTTCGGGGCTGGCTCGTCATCCCGAGCCGCTCCTGGACGCTCCCGGGGCCAGGCGAGGGCCGAGCCCGACAATAGCAGCACACCCTTCGCCGCGATTGTTTCACGACGTCGGGGGGTCCGGGTCCGAAGATCGGGTCGAGCGAGAGGGTGGGATAGGAAAAGGCGGGGTTACGAGATCTGTTGCGTGCAGCTGCTTTCAGCTCCGCCGCCGGGCGTCTTCCTTGCGGCATTGGCGCCTCCGATTGGCACCTCCGACGCCGGGAGGCGCCAGGGAAACCCGCTGCGTGAGCTGCTCACCCCCCCTCTTCTACTGGAATGACCGCGGGGCTGCTACGCGGTTATGGGAGTTACACGTGGATGCTAAGGCGGGTTATATCCAGCTGCCGCCGACAATGCCGCCACCGTGCCAGCGCAGCATTCTGGGTGTCAACTACTGTAGAAGGCATGGGGGAGCCTGCTGGGGGCCTCCTGGGGCAGAAGCCTCGAATCGTCCGTTCGTGTTTCCACTCTTGGGCCCTTCCTGGGGCCATCTTGGGGCCTTCTTGGGAACTTTGGGCGCCTCTTGGGACGTCGTGGAGCCCGCTTGGGCCGTCTTGGAGCTGTCTTGGGGAACTCTTGAATCGTCCTGGGTGAGTCTTGGGGTCCGTCTTGGCCCGTCTTGGAGCCTCGGGAGCTCGAACAGGCGAGAACCCCAGCAAACATTGACAAGCCGAAGGGTCATCAACTGTTTTGCCTCTCGGGGCCCTCTTGGGAGCCTCTTTTGGCATTCTCGGGGCCGCCTGAGGCAGCAGCCTCGAATTGTCGGGCCTTTCTTGGGGTCAGGGGCCCTCTTGGGAGTCTTGAGCGCCCCTGGGGCCGTTTTCTGAAGCCCTCTTTGACCGTCTTAGAGCTCTCTTAGGGACCTCTTGAATCGTCTCGGGGGCTCTGCGGGGCCTCTTAGGTCGTTTGGAACGTCGTAAGTTCGAAAAGGCGAGAACCCGAGAACCGTTGAAACACCGCAAGAAATTCGATGGTTCGTGCCTCTCGGGGTCCTATTTGGCCTCTTGGGGATCTCTCGGGACGCCTCGACGGCCTCGTGGGCCGTCTTGAACTCTGAACGTAGGTCAGGGGGCTGGGTGACATGTAAACGAGCGTAGTGAGCGTCCGCGCCGCCTTTTGTTGTTCAAGCGGCCGGCGCTCTGTATGCCCGGATCATAAGCGAAGCTATCGATCCGCTATTGCATCGGAAAAGAGTCTTCCTCTCGGAAGACGACACCCACATTGATCCTTTACCACCATTACTACATCTCACGATGCCTAACTCAATTTTCGCGTGGTAGCGGAGCTGGCCTCACTCGTGGGTGGTCTGCTCCACGGCACGGCTATGCCATTAGTACCACTGCGATGCCAGTCCGTGGCTACTGGTTAGCAGGCGGAGACGCCAGTGGCCGGAATGCAATTTCCCTATTTGTGACGCCCGCCTGACTACCACCAACAGCGTATTCGCCACGGCTCTACGCCACTACGCTCCGACTTACGATGCGTTTGGGAACATTCGCGGCGACTGACACACCAAAGACAAGTCACAACACCAGCTACGACCCAACATGGAATCACTACCTCACTTATGTCTGGTACCATTCGGGTATGCGTCGGCTGTGCTGTTTTTGACATGAATCGTGGTAACCACAACGATGGATGTGATCATACCACCCAGGGCCCTCACTCGGACCCCGCGGAAAACGTATTGTTCTTCGAGTTCGTTCGAGAAGCTCATGCTGGGCTTATTGTCACCAGCGCCCGCATGACGCCACAACAGCAGGCTGCATGCCTGCAGCGCTGCTTAGGTGGGATAGCTCGCAGCATCGCGATGCGGGTCCCGCCGCAGATCACCAACTACGGGGTGACTTTTACAAGGGTCCACACGGACCCCGTCACATACAGCAGAAAAAGGCGCTTATCGACTTTAGGCCTGGCTCTGGCCAGAGAACGGATTCTATCTTCGCTCGGTTCGGGATCGCTTGTCTTGACGCCAATGCCGTTGGCTTGGCCATCCCGAGTTTTCAATTATTCACCGCAGTATTTTTAGAGCGTGACATTTGGGCCTTGGCCGAGTTGCTTTATGATTTCAACCAGTAAATGGCCAAATGCTACGCGCGCAGCAGCAATGTGATGAGCTGCTGGGTTGCACGCCAGGCGCGCGCCTGGCAATATCGGGAATGCGTTGCTGGGAGGCGGCGGGCGCGGGAACGCGAATGCATGCATGGTTGCCGCCGGCGGAGACGCGGCCGCGCCCGTTAACGCATGGCCTGGCGATGCGATCCACGCAGTTCAGAATGATCTGCAGTTTACAACCTGGCCAGGGAGCTGGCGCAGGTCACGCATCATCATCACCACGCCCTGGCTGGGGAGAGCCCACTAACCCTGCCTCATGCACTGCGCCAGGAAGTCAGACAGCCTTTAGGGGCTCAGCCACCAACCGAAATTCGCCCTTCGATTATGGGACCGATGCCGGCACATAATCTTCGGAAGGCGTCGGACCCTCGGACATGACAGACATGCCCAACGGATTGGGAGACGCGGAGACTGCTGCGTATT